CCCATGGCTTTGGCCACCTTCCTATGGAAATGCTTGGCACTGGAGTTCGATGCACCCATGGGCTCGGCAGCAGGGGCCACACGTTCAAGGTGGGCTTGGTTCTTGGCCGCTGCCAACTTGGTCGCCAACATGAGTTGCTGATTGAGCATCTCCTTTCTGATGTGCTCTAGTGGCTTGTCGATCAAGGGTTTTCATAAGCCGCAATGCATTGTGCCCAACCGAATGTTGATTTGGAGCGCACACCAAAACTCGTCAAGGGATGTGCCCTTTTGCTCCCTGTGGACCTGTTGGAGCCGGATGAGGATCTGCAATCGGGTCATGATTGTCATGAGGGCATGGAGGTATGGCAGAATGGTGTCCCGAAAAATGGGCAGGAAATCTAGGTGGACCATGAAGTCAATCAGAGCGGAGGTCAGGTCGAAGTGCCATGCATCATAGGGCGCCTAGTTTTGGTACACCAAGAAGTAGCTGGAGCGAGTTCTGAGCGCCTGCGCAAACTGCCCGCCTTCGGAAGTCCACCGGACGTCAAACCACTCGGGAAAATGGACCCCTGGCGGTCGAAACACTGGGTTGGTAATCGACTATGGTAATGGCCAGGGGTCTGGGAGCCTGACAATATCGAGGTAAGCTGTAGGCAGACCATCGTTGAACCGAACGGCTGGGTCGTGTAGCCACTATTTGGCAGGTGTCTGGTGCATAGAAAGAACTTGGCAAAGTGGCCGGGCAGGGCAAGGCACTCGGTACCTTCAGGTTGTGCCAACGAGCTGGCGTGAAGCGAAACAAGATAGGAGGGGGACCAAGGGGTTAACCTAAATAGCCACCCCCGCTCAGCCCTGCCGAAGCCCCCCAAAGTCCAAGAGCGCCAAACTGACGGTACCTTGGAAGCTACGTACTTTGACTGACCCAAGGTATTAGAGGTGCTAGAAAACCGTTTGAATTTGACTGCTACCAATTTGAATCATCAGCACAGCCCACCCAACGTCGTCCTTGGTGGAAACATATCAACAAGATACTTAATTGCATTTCCTGCTCCCCGTGCTAAGTCACATGTGGCGGGAATCTCTGATCCCTACCTCTGTGCTCAGTCACAGGTGGCCGCCCCTCGTGCGATGGCACAAGATGTAGGATATGGGGCTCTGGCGGTCTGGGGATGTGGCAGTCACCCACACCCCTACAAGCGCCATGTAATGGGTCCCCACTGCTTGTCGGCGCACGGGTCGCCAGAGCTACATGAGACGCAGAGGCGACAGATGTGGCAATCATTCCTGGCACACTGTGGCCCACGGCAGGTGAGCCAGGAAAGCATGCGAAAGAAGGCAGAAACTCACACGTGTGGGTTAGCAGCACAGGGCGAAGGCACGCACCCACAACTTGCAGTAGAACCAAAGCCTTAGGCTATCAGTCATGGACGCCATGGACGAAGGGACGGCCATGGACATTAAATGGCAAGGAGGTCGGTGAGGGCGACCAAGTCCACAACGACGATCTCGAGAGGGAGATGGAAACTAGACATTCACACAAGGCTTCTGCCACGTTTGCTTGCTAGGTGGGCAATCCCCGAGCACTGAGATCTGTGCATGCCGACAGAATTGGGGATGTTGTGTTCCGGGAATTGTGCACATTCCCAGTGGGAATTTCCCACAAAGGCAGCGATCGGTACAGGGAGGCTGCACTTGGCAACGCGCCGCTGCACCCTACCCTCCAAGATCTGAGTTCCGTCGGGCTCCCTCCAGTTGGCCACGAGCTGAATTTTCGAAATGATACACTATCAGCGCCCTCTCCATCAATGGCATGGACGATGAGCAACTGAACTTAAGGCGTTGCGCGTGTTCCCCAGCTTGGGCACACCAACGTGGCAAGCAGCGGCAGCCTACAAGAACGCTGGGCACAGTGTAGCGTTGCGCTGCGCTTCTTGAGAGCGTGAACAGACTGCGCACAGGGCATAGTGCCTTCTGTGTGTAGGGAATCGGACATTGTGATGATTGGCGTGGTTGAATGATGAGTCAGTGACAGTCAAGGACCAGCCTCACATGTCCTGCCGGGACAGCTCGGTTCCCAACTCGCACTCGTAGGGAACCTCACACATCCACTCACACGAGCGGCGTGGGACAATAATCTAGACTACAAGTGAACGAATGAGCAATCGCACGCCCAAAACATGACAAAGCTTCCCACAGAAACACGCTTGCCCCACACATGCATTATCCTCTGTCATTCATGTCGCCCCCTTGAATTTCTTACATCTACCAAATGTGGCCCCCGCAATGCAGCAATGCAGACAAGGCCTCCACTGTTTCTGATTGGATGTGTTGCTCCAATGCAGGACATAAATTGACGTTGTGGCATGAAGCGGACGCTTATGCGACTGAGAACGAGCAAGGGACACCAAGCTTGCATCGTTCGCAGCCGCCACCATCCCCGAAGAAGTTTGGCAGCTGCCTTTGCCAGTCACTCCGTCGTCGACCACAACCTGCCACTTAGCCAATGCTTGCAGCACTTGCTGAAGCTTGCACTGCCTTGGCGACTCTCATAACGCTCCATTGACACCTGAAACGCATGCCCCTAAATCCGATGAACAAAGTACGGTATCAGTGCAAGCATTGGAAGGAACAGCAAAAGTTTTGCTGCTAAACGTGGGAGCGAACGCCATCTCTGGCTGCACTTGAAGCGCAGCACTAATGAGCCGCAATCACACTTCGTTAATCTTGCTGAATCCAGCAAGTGCCTTGAAGCAACCCAGTCTCAAGAGAAGTAGGCCTTCCACACCTCACATTTACATACAAGGTAACCGCTAGGCTAATACACACCCCTGATTCCCCAAACGCAGATGCAGTAGACAATGCACCCAGCCACCTTGCGAACGCTAGCTTATTAAACAACACTAATTTCCATCGCGTTCAACAAAGTGCCAAGTGCATGTGAACCCAACAGTGGCCACTGGGTCGGTGCACATCAGAGGAAAGGTACCCATTTCCAACTTTCCCTGTCGGATTCTTGGACAACATTAGAGTACAAATGAAATGACCCTCATGAAATCGTTCAGTCGCCAGTCAAGTCGCCACCAACATCCAGACCCACGGACTCGTGACGGCAAAAAAAGCATGAATGCGGTGTTCAACAATAAGCGAATCGATGCGTGCCCTCCTCGTTTCAGCCCCAACCACCTCTACCACGTGGCCGTTTCCAGGCCGTCCTCACCTGAGGGACTGTCGCCCACCGGAATCGATGCACGATGCAAACAATGCGTCAAATCATACCGGAAAGATCCATCCACCACCCCAATACCGGCGCCCCGGCTCCACCAATAGCACACGTAGGCATACTTCTTGTGAGTGACTTCTTCCGCTAAACCCATCAACGCACATTCTGGTGTCCCCGCCTCCTTCTTTCCCTAGATCCTTGGTCCTCTGTAGGCATCACACACTTCCCTGCCAGGCTCCCAAGTGGGTCGTTCGCATCCAGCTCAACACCACCCCACCCCGTCCAACGGCTTGAGCTCTTCTGCGCTTTACAGCGCGCCCACGGCGGCATGTGGGCCCATTTCCCCTGCTCTCCGCCCCAGCAGTGACTGCCTGCAATCGGATCTGTGAATTGGACCCCGTCCTGGTAGCTAAGGCCTTGGCGACCTGTCCAGCCCACGCTATGGTGGAATGGCCCCTGTCTTGGGCGGATCGATGTGAGCCACTGGGAGGAATTGGGGAACCCGTGGCAGTGTTGCCAACAAGAGGCTGCAGACTGGTCAGCCGGATGGTAATCATGAACAGGACCCACCATAGGATCCCACAATGGGTGGCAGTGCCGCCGCCCTGCAAGTGGCCTGTGGGCACTCGCAGCCACCCCAGGACAGGGAATAGCCGAAGGCACGTGGGGCAGCCCGGGTGCGCAGTGATAGTCGCCGTCCAGGATGGGATGTGGCGGCCGTTGGCAGGCGGTGTTGAGGGAAGGGAAGCCCATCCATGGCAGGGACCCTGCGTTGGTATGGCTGTTCCAGGCCTGGTTGCCGTGCGTTCCAAACGCCTCACTGTGTGAAAGTGGCGACTGTGCCCCACCCTGCAAGGAGGACATGGCAAAGCTCACCGTGCCCACGTCTGAGAGTTCCTTGCCACCCCACCCACACGTTGAACATGAAGTCTGGGGATTCCGCTCCATCCGCAATGGCAGGAGTCCTTCCATATGCCTGCCATCTTCTGGAGATACCCTTCCCATGAAGGAGCTCTGACCTAAAGCACCACTCTCAGAAGGTGACCTCTGGGCATTGCTGTGAGGGGCTGGGTTGGGCTCTAAGTCCAGAACCTTCGCGTCCTTCAAACTTGCAAGACTGCATGGTGGCTCAATTGTCTGTGTCAGCGGTTGCTCTGATGAACCAGCAGCACTGTGCTTGGAGGTGGGCGAATCCTGTGCGGTTTTGGACCGTGTGCTTGCCCATTTGGCAGCACGTTCAGCAGCCAGCTCTTCCAGGCGTTGGCGACCCAGTCGCTCGGCCTCAGCCCTGGCTCCCTGTTCGGCCTGGATGGTGAACGGGGATCACACGTCAGAAAACTGCATCAACAAGGGCCCTGTACTCACAGATCAGGGACAGGACAGGGATGCTTGGAAGTTGGACCCATTCCATCTCTGGACCATGGAACCAAGGTATCAAGAGCTTTGCAAAAGGTGGTAGGCAGTGTTGTTGTTCGACGGTTTGGAGGTGCATCAGCAAGGCAATACAGCAGGACCCATTCGCATCATTTAAGAAACAGTTCAAGACAATTGCGTGCATGGTAACATGACACTGCAATGTGCAGATTCACCCTGTAATGAAAGCAGCAGCACTGCCTTGTCCTTTTCTTGCAGCAGCAGACCCACAGCCCAACCGACAGGGCCAGGACAACATATGAACATCCATACAAAACCATGGAGTCTTGAAACATAAACTCACAAAAGGCGTGCTGCACTCCATTGCCTTGTCAGTGCCCATGGGCATCCGAGCCATTCAACAAATGTGCCAAAAGGATTAACACTCAAAGCGGTGTAGCTAATGGCCTCACCCTCTTCTTAGCCAGCTGGAGCGCAGAGTCGCTGGCGACCCTGTGAGCCTCCTCTGCACTTAGCACCTCTGTATTTCCCTCCACCCCAACCACCACCATCACTGACGCTGTCGACAACAGTGTGATGCCCAGCTGCCTGTCCGACACAAGAAAATTGGCTGTGGCCGACAACGCACAGCACTCGCCCACATGCCTTGCCCCCTGCTCCTCCTCTGCTTGCACCTGCCTGCCATTGTTGGCCTCCAATGGGACGGCAACATCCTCATGGAACAGGGCTTCCATAAAGTGGGTGGGGTGGAAGGCTGTCATCAGGTGGGAGGGGAGGGGCAGGTATGCCTGGGGTGGGTGGCTTTCAGGCACCTGTGGCTTGCCATAGGTGGACTGCTGTGAAATTTCAGTCACATCTGCAAACCATTGACACACCTCTTGGAGCTTGCATTGGGGCACCCCAGATTTCTCGGAGAGGGTCGGGAGCATCTTCAGCTGGTCGGACATGGTCTTAAGCACCTGGGGACCAATCCCGCAGTGCATGAGAGTGAGTTTGGGCCAGTTGATCGCAGTCGACTGGATTTCCAAGACTCCGACAGAGCAAGCCTTGTTCAAGACTTTGAACAAGACTTGTTGAACAGCAGGATGAACGAATTACCCCTGAAGACAAAGTGTGAACGATGTGTCTTGGCCTGAGATTCATGCCTGTATGCAACTGATAACGGTTGCATCCCACACTATTCATAACATTGTTCGGCCAATGTAGCTGCTTCCGCGACAAAGGCCAACAGTGGCTTGGTAAAATCATGGGAGCTGCTGCAGCAACAACTCGGAACCAGCCATTCACCCTGTGCAATCCTTGGTCCCTACCTAGTGCGCAGAACTGTCACATACACTTCTGTTTAGCACTTCTACACAGTAGTTCTCTTCCAGCCTGACGTAGTTTGTGGCCAACTCACCTGCAGTCCTTTTGCCAGCGACTTCTCTGCAATCCAGAAGTGGAAACTCTCTTCACTGTTTAGCTCACTGCTGCAGGCATTCAGCAGGTCGTACAGCTTGGCCATCTCCGATGACACCTGACCGCCAGCCTTTGCCTTTTCTGCATCCAGCCTCTTTGCCAGGTCCAATTTCTGCCTGACGTGGCTTGACCAGCGCACCAGCCGGAAGGATCGCCCACTGGGGTCCTGTCCAAGAACAGACATATCAATGCGATGAGTAGGTGCCATGTTTGCTTGCTGTGTTGTGAATTCTGGTGCTGCTGGTGTGCGCTGCACCTTGAGGTTATAGTTGTCAAGCCAGTACTTATCAGTGCTCATGTGCACAGGGAAGAAGGAAAGAAAGTTTGGTACAAGGATACAAGACCGCGCACAAGCAAGAACCCGTAGTGGGTCACAACTCCCACATACAATACCACTGTTGCACTCAATTGATTCACAACGATGTGCACAAGGCCAATTCGACTTGACACTGCATCAATGAGGCCATACTGCACATCCACAACTGGCTACTGGTTTCTGTCAGTCCCAAAGACAGTCCTATGCGGCAAACAGCATGTTTCATAATTTGCTTTCCTAGATTCCACACGACATTTACGGACAATGGATTTGTACAGAAGCTAATGTACAACATAGACTGTGGATACTGTACATACAGTGGATGCCAGGCATACCATAGAAATACACACACCAAGCAACAGTGAGGACAGACACTGTCATGCCTTTCATGGCCATATGGGACTCGTCAGCGCCGACAAATGCACCAAAGGAATTGCACCATCAGGCCCTGGCAAGCCCAGCAAGTCCACGATTTTCACATATGACTATGGACACGAACATACAGTGGATGGCTGGCATCCCACCTGCTCCACCATCTCAAGCTTGATCCCAGACCCCTCACTGTGGCATGTCGAATCGGCTGCCACCCAAGCCAGCTCCTCCGACACTTCCCTCATGGAGAACTCCTCACGAAACCCATCAGCCAGCTCAACAGCTGACTCCCCCACTTGGTTTCCCACACCACCCTCCCCAGCGCTGCTGACCCCAACGCCCATGTTCTCCTCAAGGTCCTTGATCGCGTGCCAGGTGATGCTGACATCGGATGATGGCAACAGCCACAGTGTGAGCATGCCGACATCCTCAGTGGCCCTCAGAAAGCCAGGGGTATGCCCCAGCTTCCTTGTGAGACGCCCCACCTTCAGGCATGACAAAGGCTTGCTGATCGCCCGCAGCAAGCTGCCTGCCTGCTGCAATGTTAGCATCGGCGCCGCACCCACGTTCAGGTCCGGGATTGCCAGCATCAGGCTCATTTCCTGTTGGGCATCTGCATGCCCTGACACCATCTGGGACTCCATTCTGCAGTTCTGCAGTGCGGCCAGCATGGGGATGGCCATGGAGCTGGGCGTGCACAGGGAGGACGCTCGTTGAGGGGGTTCGGTGAACATGGATGGCAGCGGGTGGAACGTCGGCGCCCGCTCCTGCCCAGTGGCCTTGACCTGCCGGAAGGCACCTGCTGTGCCTTGGGGCCTGTCCAGTATGCTGCTTACATGATGAACAACTTCGTTGCCCGACTGCAAAGCAGGATGCTGCTGGCCGGATTCAGATGGCAGCCCTTCAGAGCTAACTCCGTTCACCTCATCGCCACATTCCGATGCCCCGCAAGAGCTGTTCGGTTTGGCCGGTTGGCCACCAATAGCCCCACTGGCATTGATCTCCCCAGATCCCCTTGAGAGCGTAGACGTCCCTTCAACCTGTGACACAACTCTGCTCATAGGCAACCTGCCAGCAATGGTTTCCTGTACAACAGTGCCTTCCGCATCCACCTCCGCCCCATGGTGCCAGGCCCTGTCCTCGGCGCCATCACCAAAACGCGAGCCAAATTCCTGCAGGTGAATGTTGCTGTCACGGTGTACCCCAAGGGGAATGATGTCTGCATCCTCCACTAAGCCAGGAGACAGACAGGACAGTGATGGCATGTTGGCGGGGCCGCAAGGTGCTACATACAGAGTGAAGCCACCAGTCACAACTGGCAGCCCAAGGCCAACCTGCTGCTTTAGGAGGCCCCCGCCAGCTTCTCCCAATCCTGGCACCACCGGCGCAGAGGGCCCAACCATGAGCCCCTGGTGATGGACCGCCAGTGGAGGGCCGTAGGGCACATACGGATCCATATGATGCATATGCGGCACAGCCTCCCCCAAGTCGCAGTGCGGGATCCACCAGCCACCACCAGCCCCAAAATGGTCGAAGCCCAGAAGCCTTCCACCCGGAAAAACGCCTGGGCTCCCCTCAAGTCCTGTGCACCTCGCCATCCACCCCGGCACCTCGATTCCAACACATCCATTCAACCCATTTGGCTGGAGGATCGCCGACATGTCGCCGACCGAATCGGGGATGCACGAGGGCGACCCGCCCAGAGCTGCATCACCCACCCAGCACGACCCCCCGGCCCCGTTCCCGCCGCGGCGGGGTTGGCAGATCGCCGGTTTGCTCAGGCCGGGCGCCGAAGGGCCCACGCCGTTGGCCCTCATCCCGTCGAAGGTCTCCGCGGCATCAGCAAGACCGTTGCCAAACGCCGGCGCCTCCCGCCGCACCTGCCACCCGTCCCGCGGCCCGGCAGCTCCTGAGACCGGATTCATCTGCAGATTCATAGATTGGCTGAATCGTTGGCGGCTTGATCATGGGGCTGGCCGACGAGCCAAGGATTTGTCCCGGTGTCTCACGCCTTCGCGCCTGCGGCAGGTGCGGGGCGTAAGAGAAGCCTTTGCTTGATCGATCGAACGCACCCCGGGCAAAGGAGGGCGCTCCCGTCAGAAGAACCAGGAGCCCACGAATTGCGCGAGGTGGTAACCACAGTATTTAAAGAAAGGCCAGTGGATTGATCCCGCTTGCGCCGGCAGGCGACGTCGGCCAGGACCGAGGGCCCCGAGTCTCTGCCGGCGACTCGAATCCTCCCGCCGCCTATCCGTCGATGTTCAACGCGGATTCTCGGCCAGGTTTCTGCTCCTGCGAGTCGGGCACCGACGGGCCAAGCCGCGTGCAACGGTCCAGTGGCGTCCGCGTCCAATGGCAAATGAAGTCCAGCGCAGCGCCTTGAGCGAACAAGGAAGAAGCCGTGCTCCGCTCATGCGCAATCGTCGACACCGCGCGTCCCCGTGCAAAAACGCTGACCCACCCCACCCACCCACCCACCCCAAGGATCGCCTCCCCGCGAGCCGTGCCCCCCCCCCCCCCCCCCCCCCACCCCCCCACCCCCCCCCCCCCACCCCCCCCCCCCCGCCCCTCCACCCCCCCCTCCCCCCCCCAGCCCCCCCCCCACCCCCATCCCCGTCACCGCGACGCAATGCGCGATCCCCCCGGCTTCTGCACGCGACCGACCGCCTCACCTGCGCAACGAGCTCCCGGCGCGGCGCAGAGGGAGCAGCCACGGTCGACAACAAGCACCCAGGGACCACCCAGGTCCACCCAGGGATCACCGAGGGACAGGGACACCTGCCGCGAAGATATTCACCCTCGGAAGATATTCCCCCTTCGGAAAAGTGCGCCCCGTGAGCACCACGTCAGGCCGTCCTAACCGGCGTAGGCCTCCAATCCGCTTGTCTGGGATCCAAAGCTCGGTTTGAGATATGCGGCAGGGTCGATTGCAGGTGTCCGGGGTGGTGTGTGGCCATGGCGTGGCGCCGCCGCAGCCGTGGGCTTGCGTGATTGGTGCCGACGTGCAGTTGGCTGAGCCTGGGGTGGATTCGACGATGTCCAGGGTATCCTCGGAGGGGCCAGCGCGGATCTGCGCGGGGTGGTGATTTGGGACGGGGTGGAGTGGATGCCGTGGATACGGAAACGGGGAAGACTATTATGTGACAGGGGCCAATGCCGGTGTCGTGGGGCCCGGGTGGAGAATGGTGACGAGGTGGTTCTTGTTGGGGATCCTGCGTGTCGTGGCAAGTTGGGCCCGCCGCGGGCAGCGATCCTGTCACATCGGCCCGGGACAAAGGCGGGTGGTTCGGGTACTAATCGCGACCGTGCTGATGCATGGGTCAATTTAAATGATGTGCTCTGGCAAGGAAAACAAGCGGGGATTCGACGCCACTAAACTGCGATCCAGCAGTAAGTTCCACGTTCGCCAACACGTGCGGAAATTCGGTTGGCGTTGATGCAGTGTTGATGGGGTTTGGCGCAAGGGGGTCATTGAAGCAACGATGATCAACATTGTTGGCCGCATTTGAAACAAATGCTCGATGACGTCGTGGTTTAGCAACCCTCCAACACCGCATCTGGTTGCAACATTCCCAAAACAAGTAGCCTTGCAGCAATGGTGCATTGAGGATATGTTTTTCAGCCCTGAGGTGCACCCGGAAATTTGGTAGGCTTTGATGCAACATTGATAGGCCTTTGCATCAACGCGAACCCTCGTGTCAGTAGAGCGGCGTTGATGCAAGGGCCTATCAATGTTGCATCAACGTCTACAAAATTTCCGGATACAGAATGTGGTGCCAGCAAACATCTGAGTATATGCGCAGTGTGTAGATTGAAAGCAGCAGGGATGCTCTGTACACAGCATTCTCATGGCTTTCCGTTGTGTCTGCTTGCCAAAAACAAAGTTACAGCTCCCTGGTTATGGAAAGTATATGAACTAGGGCGAGGGACTACAGGATATGGAGTGCCCATATCAAGGAGAAGGGATGAAAAACATGTCTGCATCCAAGATGTGATCTTTCGTTTCCGACATACTGGGTGCCCGTTTTCATTGTATGTGCATTTTAGTCCGTGTTCTCTTCATGTCAACATGCGGACCTCCTTAATGAAGTGGAATTCCGCAGAGGCTTGATAACTACGAATAATTCGACGTGACGATGAACACTCGATTTGATGGTTATAGTAAAATCGTACTTAACGTACACGGTGTGTCTGCGTCGCCCAACGTTCGTGATGGGTCAGGATGTCTACTTTCCTGATTTTAATGCGCCTGCGGCTCAACTGAAAGATGGCGCAATGTTCACATCGAAACACTATTTTCAAAGCCGGTTAGACTGCCGACAAGATTGACTTCAGTGTACATTGAGGTTTGTGAAGGAATTTGTGAGCGCATACTGAGAAGCGTTTGTCAGACAGAGGGCACCTTGTCGCACAGCACCGCGAATACCAAAGCAGAATTCATACCAAATCAATCGTATTACACGTCAAATTCGTACTGTCCCATATACTCCTACCGTCTGGGACAACCCAGGGGAGGGATGGAGAGTGGGCATTTTGAAACAACACAATTTTGCAACAGCATATTTGTATGTGTCCGCCAACAAAACCATAACTAGGAATAAAATGTGCGTGCGTCTCTGTGTGCAGCGTGCCAGATCAGAGCTGATATTATCTGTTCATTTGCCTCAACCATTTGCACTCGTCAATTCAGAGGTGCACATATTATTTTTGCCTTGGCAAGATATGACAAAACATGACTGCTGTTTTCTCCAGATTTGGGGCTGAACGATATCCTTTGATAACGTCGATAGATGCCACTGCGCGTTTCTTGTTGACTGATTTTTGTCCACTGTGGCAGCTTCAGCCTCAGCGTCCACACCGACGCCGTTGCAAACGCACATTGCATCCTGTCAGACATTTGAGCGCATCTTCTTCATGCAAAATACAAAGTGTGTTTAATGCATTTTCTGTATATGCGATGCTCACAGCGTTCTGCACATAAATACTGCATGTCCAATGCATAAAATCTGTCCCCCGCGTTTAACAAGCAGAAGGAAATTCCTGACAGTTCTGTGCTGCAATGTTGCCGGCAACAAATCTTTCTATTCTTGGGCAGCAGCACTTGCACCAGCTGGGCGAATATTCATTATCTGGATCAAAACAGACAATATGAGTTCATATAATGTTATGTCGTGCACATCCTTTGTGGTTGATCATGATCGCCTATTCTACATCACAATCCGAGTGACATCGAATGAAAAAAACAACACTATTGCCAGTGGTCAAACCACGCCACTCTTATTGCCACGATTCTGGGATATGGTAGAAGCAGCTCCAATGAAAACGGAAGCCTCTCACGAACAGGAAATATTCGGATGTGCCTACAAGTGCAAATAGAAAAGCAACTCCAAGCTTTCAATTTTGCGTTTTCATATCGTCACCCTTGATCATAGGGATATTTAAAGCTCGAAGGTTCTTCATGGAGGCCGCCATCAGGTGTTTTCCATGCTCTCTAGTTGGGCGCTGGGTACTTTGAGGTCCGCCGTTGTGCTCCACGTGGACCCACACGACGTCTTTCCCCAATTCGGCGTTTCTAATCTTCATTTAGTGGAACTACATACAGGACAAAGAATGTCAGCGATTGCGATAAGAAATGCAAAATTTGAATGGTGTCGTTCAAGTCTTGGGCTACTTTCCCGCTGCTGAGATGCACAAATCACGGCAAGTGTCTGAATGCTTTACTGGAGCATTTGATTTGCAGGCTGGTCACTGCTTGGCTAGGCGCACGAAGATATCCCAAGCACAAAGTTGTATTGGCCTCTGAGCGCGGCGATTATTCGGGCGGAACACTGCCTTTTGATCCCGGGCACCATCAGGCAACACCATGTTGTGATGCCGACTAGCAGTACTGCGACGCCGTTTTACCCAAATTGATGTCATTGCAGCTGCTATCACAATCGCTGTGGAAGCTCCCAGTTAGTGTCAAATTTTGGTAGCGGTTGGTATCCCAAAAATGGTATTTCTGCTAGTGCGGATGCCCATGGGTTACGAGGCATCAGCCAGCGGGCTGGTGAATGTGGCCACGATGCCATTCCTGGTGGGGGGACGCACCTATTGAGAACGGCACCATCGCGGCTGCCTGCAAGCTGCCGTTCCTGGGGTGGGTCGTGGATCCACTAGCGGAATGGATGGTGAGGAGTACTTTTCACTACACCGTCAATCCCAATACATCAGCCCTTGTTCAAGCACCCTTAAGTACTTCGCGCACTAGTGCGGCGCCGGTTGGGCGGAGCGCAGCCCAAAGACACGTGACGTGCTTTTCGTGCACCATTGCGTTCAGCGGCGGGCGGCACAGCGCGTCGCTCAGCGCACCAGCTGCCTGAGTTTCCGCGCCCTCCCCTCCAGCGCCTCGATCTTGTGCCTCTGCCTCTCCCGAAAGCTTCTCTGCTGGAGGCGGTTCCTCTCGCGCTTCTCCTTCTCGGCCGTCGTCTCCTCGCCCCCGCCGCTGCGGTTTCTTCCATCGTCCGGGGGAGCCGGCCCTGATGGCAAAGCCCAGGCTGCAAATCATGACAGTGGAATGGGGAAATGTGCCCCGAAATCGGCATGAGGAGCCCACCGCACGTGCTGCAGTGGCCGAAAGCCCTCTCCCGTAGGCGCGACTGGGGCACCAAAGTGGAAGCCCGGCACACGCGCCTCGTGGAACGCATGTGGATCTCTTCGTAAGGCGGCGGCGCAGCTGCGAGGCTCCGCAGCAAAACAAACTGCGGGGAGCAACGGCGCTTAACGAGGAAGGACGCTCACTTGGAGGGGTCCGCTTCCACGTGCTCCGCCAGAGTCGCATAGTGGGCCCTCGCTCTGCCCGTGATGGGCTGGAGCGGCGCCGTTGAGCCCCCTGCTGCTGGTGGTGCCCCGGGGCTTCAGACCGAGACGCTGGTGAGTTGATGCGTCAAAAGACAGACCCAACTCCCGGTCCCCTCCCCCGCCGCCGCCGACTTTTCCTTGCACACGACCGGCAGGCCGCTAACTTGTTGTCGTGGCCCAGGCTCGTCGAGAAAAGCGGTTTCAGGTCTGCTTGCCAGACACCACGCGGTCTACCGTTTTGCAGCCAGCCGGTGGACGTGCCCACGATCGTGGCCCACTTTGGGAATAAGCCCGTCCCTGCTGCGTCCCACTGCGCACCGGCGCGAACATCCACCAGGCTGCATGTCAGTCAATCATCAATGCCATATATGCCGGGGGGCTGTCGCACGTCAGTGGAACACTGGCCTCCTTCAGGGTCGCGTTTTCATTTGCACAGGGTAGCGCGGAAGCGAGGCGCGCTGCCAACATGGCCCTTCTTCACGCACCACCTCCAAGTCCTTACGGAGCGCACAGTCAACCGCAGCGGCCGCGCGTCCTCGTGTTTGTGCGCACGAATTCAAGCGGGCATCATGGACTTGACAGCCGCACATTGGTCGGGCGGTGGATCAATCCCGGAGGCGCCGTTCGGCGGCCCAATTACACACCGCCTCGTGAGAGGTTGATCCAACCGGAGCTGCAGGGTCTTAAGTACCGCCTTTGTTTGTCAGTCGACTGCCCCCCCGAACGCTGGATGAAACTTAGCAAAGCCAAAGGACTGCAGGACAAATACAGTAATAACATACAAGCCCTAACATATGTGAAGGACGTGTCCTTATCTCGTCCGGTTCGGGTTAATGGCAACGCGTGCCGGCTCTGGAGTACCTCACGCGGCTGATGGCTGGAGACCTGACAGGCAAGCACGAGCGGGACGCGGCGGGGCAGCGGCCGGGCGGCGAAAAACCGACGCTGGATCAGGAGGGGGGATCCGATAGGCGCCCGACGGACCTCTGAGAGTGAGTTCGGACGTCCCGTGGCGATGTTCATTCGGCCCTTACGCGCCCTACCTCGTGTCAAATGGTGCGCGCGTGTGCCTTCGCCCACCACCCCGAGATGCCTTGAACGAGGGGGCTGCGGGCCGCTTTTCATGGATGCTGTCAGCCACCCCGGGTCCAACAATCTTTACCGCAAACCTAATCTTGGTGCCCTTGGTCCAGGCTCCTTTCCGGCGGCGTCATGGGGGCCTGAAAACCCAGCCCACCGTTGGCATTGCCGCGCATGGTCTGCCTTCTTACGAGACGCAGAACATTCCTCGCGAGCGCCCAGGAAGGTCCAGGGCGCCTTCCGTTTGGAGCCGGATATGCAACCAGATGAGTGCGCCGATCTGCCCGCCACGACTTGTCCGCTCCGCCGATCTACCCTCTCCGACCCGAATCCACAGCACGGCCTTGTGGGCGCCGCCGCCGCGCGGAGCGCCATTAATGGACGCCATTGACACAATGTTGTGCTGGGCCCATTTGAGAGATTGGTAAACGGGCGTTTCAGGAACATGTCGTCCATGTGGGCCAGCTGCAGCGACGGCGGGAGCCAGCCGCAGGGCAGCCAGGATGGCCAGCTGTCCGCGGCGGACGCGGCGGCCAGGAGGGAGAGGAGTCGCCTGCAGCAGAAGAAGTCTCGGGAGGGCAGGAAGCGGAGGGAGGAGGAGCTGGAGGGCGCCGTGGGGGAGCTGCGGGAGAAGGTGCGGCCCGGCGGGGGTGTAACGAACACGTTGTTGGGCCCCAGGTGTCGCAATCGTCTCCACGAATGGTAACGACTAATTGTGGGAGTGGCTGTACTAGCAGTACCCCCGTGGCGACGGTCCGGTAATGGATGGGTCTGGGCGTTAAGGTGTACGGGCGCTTTGGTTGCTGCGGCGGCCAATTGGCGTCCATTGATGCGCTGATTTGCGGGCCTCGAGCGATGGCGTATGTGACGGGCTTCAACAGGGAGGGCGTGGTGCTTCTGGGAGCCATTGCCGCTGAACATGTGGACTGGAAGTTGCCATAGCAGTGCCACTGTGGAGATTCTTTTGGAGATCCTTTTGCTCTTTCCAAACATGCGAATTTGCTTTATTCTTTTCAGAATGGACAGCGGATTGGCGCTTGGCGTCTGCCAGAACGAAGAGTGCCCGTTATGAGCCACAGTCCAGCACACTTCCAGGATGTGCAAAAGCGACACGTGACTGGAAAATTCATGTGGATTCAAACGCAATAGGGTACATCACCAGCAGCAACGTTTTGGCGATGCCGACAGCGATGCTATGTTAACACTAACTGATGCCATCACAACCAGTTTTATGGCTACCGAAATCACTGTGATGGCGCCTCTTTAGTTTCGAAATGGCATCGCAGTCGGCATCGCCCCGAAATTGTGTTTCTGCCTGTAGCAACATTGGCGACTTTGGATTGGAAAGTGGCAGGGTGTCCGTTGGTGTGGTGGACGTGGCCTTTAATACATCGTTTGCTGGCGAGAATTGGCACAAAAATTGTAGGATTTGATCAAAATTATGTCAACAGGCATCCACATACGTCAGCGGTGCGTGAATGTTGAGCGATGTTTTTTCGTGTTCCATTGTTGACTGCTGATATACGAACTTCAGCACTTAGCACAATTCAGGAAAAAAGTTGTTTCGCAATTCAAACAAGAAACATAGTTGTGTATAAGCCCAACGAATTGCCGGTGGACCCGAACCAACGTCCACACTGACACATTCAATTTGACTAGCTAAATGCCCCTTCTACCGAGAGGCTGGATGATTGCATTCCTTTGTTAGTGAAGCTGGTGACGCCACTGCCCGATGCTCCAAGCCCTAAGTGGTCTCATGCAGGAAGAGCAATGGGGCATTCCACTGCGATGTTTTTAGTTTTTGCACTTCTTGAGGGGGCACTGTGGCCTTGCAGAAGAGCGCCAAGTGCTCATTCATGTTCCCACTTTGATCCAAATAGCTTTTTCCTGTGCCGCCATGTATTCCTTGACTGAGTGCCGGTACAAATCGATTAAAGAATACTGTCGTGAAGCTGTGCGGCTTCGCGCTCTGAAGGCGGTCTCGATTCTCGCCATGAGTGGTTTTTGCATAAGCAGCGATGCACCAAAGACATGGCAAATAAGTGCAAGTGCGTGTGAATGCGACACCTACATTTACTTGTTGTCGAGTCGTGGAAAATCCCCATCCCCGCGCCTCGGCACGGCAGGGGCACCAAATGCGTCTGGTGTCGCCCTAGGGTGACGATCCGAAATAACATGCACTTGACATCGAATTCGGATGCTCTCAGCCTTTCTCTGTTGTGCTTTTGAGCGAGAGCCTGAAATACTCATTATGTAGAGGTTATCAGCATTTGGACAAAACAACGGTTACTTACAGGTAACCAGGAAAACAATTCACTAGTGCTTCCTGCGGCTATGGGTCATACATTTTCTGGCGGTTTAACAAATGATGCATTGTTGTTCTTTTGCTTTGTGTTGTATCTCCTCAAATTGAATGCAAGTGTATTTTGCCACGACACTTTGGAATGCGCTCGCAAGCGATAGTTTCCTGTGCGCTTAGAGAGCTCAATGGAAGCGTCCTTGCCGCAGGTACAATATCTGATGGTAAAAAATGCGGAATTGGAGAGAGAAAACGACATCTTGTGGGCTTATGTGCAACACTATGGCGGTCTTCGGAGGCCAGAGACCTTCGCCAAAACGTAGGAAAGTGCGTCACGACAATATTGTCATTAATGATGCATGTAAATTCGGAGACTGTGGCAGTAGAACGACACTGAAGGTGTTTATTTCCCTTGCGAAACTCTGGTCTCAGATGTGTTGATGAACGAGCGGATGGAACGTGCGTTCGGAAACAATCAAATGTACTGCATCACCACCGCTTTCTAAAAAAGTACTTTTTTACCTTTCAGAGTGGTGTCTTGTCATGAGATAGCTGCACAACCTGTACGGTTTTCTGGGACAGAATTCGGACTGGATGCGGCGGGAACGGGATCCAAGTCTAGATACATAATGGGGAAAGCAGTAATGCCAAAAAACGGAGATGGCACTCTCCATCGGACTGACTGGCATCCGGGTGGCCAATTGCCACATGGACACAGTGGCTTCCAAACCCTCTCACACTAGGAAAAAAAGGGCCACATAACACTTTTGCAAACACAAATAAAACACATTTCATCAAAGTTCTGCAGGCTAAGAACACAAAAATAACACAAACCCGTAAACTTTGTACACATTTGAACACGTGTTGTTTAGCCCTTTTTTTCCTAGTGTCACAATCATGTCACGAGTTGCCAGTAGCAAATTGTATGTTTAAAAACTGCATACAAAGCATTGGTATGATTGAAAGTAGGTGATGGATGCATCAGTTAGATGAACGGTGCCGGATCCGGCACCCTCCCTCCGGAGGGGATCCTTGTGTGCATCTACAAGCGACAAAGCTGACCGTTAACTGACAGTATGCGGCAGCAACACATGACTGGGATATTCTTGGTTCAGAATTTATAGCTTCCTTAGGCAACAAACTATTCAGAGTGCGCAGTAGTGTGGTTATTGCTTTGCTGTGTTTATCTCAGGTGCAACCATGCCAAGTCGGCGTCGAATACCCGCTACCCCTCGCGCCTCGAGGTGTTAAACCATTACTGCTTGCTTGCTCTTATGGGCAGCTGCCCTTAACAGTTTCAGCATTGGTACAAGTGAGTGCACTTACTAGTGCTGACTCACTGGGTCAGTGACCCGGTGAGTCGCTGTGGTGAAGGTGCGGCTATGAAGGGCGATTGTCGTGGCTAGCCACGAAAGTGTGTTGTAAGGCAAGAG